GGACGAGAAAGATCAAGATGCCAACGATCAGGACGTCAAAGAATGATGTTGATGATGATGATGATGATGATGAGGGTGCCGGTGGTGGTTGTTTTTGTGATGATGATGACGATGATGACGGTGATGATGATCGCTTTTCTCGCGGTGATGGATATGTTGATGAATGATGGCCGCGCGGTGCATATTGAAAAACACTGCCGCAGGGGATATCAAGACGATGACAGTGATGAGGATTGGGGTTTCGACGGTGTCGGCACTGATAGAAATGAGGGGTCGTAGTGATGATGGGGAGGAGGATAGGACATGGGTTCCCGCCAATATTATATTAATTGCATTGTGTTGGCGGTGCCAGGAGCTGCCGTCGAGTTTTTTCGTTAAGCAGAGCTTCCAATTGTCACAGGGTTTCTGGTAGGCTGCGCGGAAGTGAGACACCTGGTGCTCCGCCCCTTCTATTTCGGGAGCATCTTATCTAGGCACCTGAATAATTCGCTTCCCCCATATTATAGCCCCCCTAAGACTGAAATCTCCGCTCCCCCGAATTTTGCGGCTTCGGGCCCGCCATTGAAAGTTAATCAAAAACACTGTGGTAGGATTGTATGAGTTTTTAATAAAGCCAAGATTACAGTAGTACCAAACCGAAAGGACCCGGGTTTTAGGTTTGAGGGGTTTAGGGTTTTAGGGTTTAAGGCTCGGGTACTACTAAACCGCTCTACAGTTGGAACGGCCGCGTGATTCCCGGTCGGTGTGCCATCTTTGTCAATAGTCATCTACTTACCTTCTATGCAACCCACACCCGGATGCCCAAAACCTCCTCTGAGTTTCAAACCAGGGCTCCCGAAATCAGTTTCGATAGAAGAGGATGGAGACGGTTTAACATTAGTGGGAACCGATTAGCTAGACAAGGGCCTCGAGCGGGGATTCATGCTAAAACGATCATCGGGATCACTAAGGCTAGATAGTCAGGCCCCGGCGTTGGAGTTCAGGGTTCGAGATGTTTGTTTTCTCGGCTGCTTGTGTGTGTGTGGGGAGTTGGTTGACCAGGGTCTAGGATTCTATGGATTCTGTGCCTCAGCTTTGCAAAGGCAGTCCGTAAGTTAGTGCCTTTGCAGGTTCCAGCTGCGCTTCATGTCATGCAATGTCCATCACTACCGAAGCTAAGGAGCTGCAGTGGCAATGGAGAATGTCTTGATCACATGTGATGTTGGGGCGTAGACGGAGACCAGGTGGCCTACCCGCGTTGCTCTTCACTTGCTCGTGTTTTGGCTAGAGATTGCTCGTGCTCCTGGTGGCTCTTCCAAGCTTCTCAGACCTGATTTCTTCAAACCACCACCCCAGATCCTGCACCGTGTATCGATGATGTCCGCAGCGAGGGGTCATGGACTTGGAGCGTGCCGAAGACAGGCATTTTGAAGGCGCTGACTTTCATTTAACCCCCTAAGCGACTTAATTCAGAAGTAAGGGCTCGGGTTTAGCTTGAACTTCTTGAGTCGGGTCGCTCACGTTTCCCTTTGGCGTGGAAGTTGGGTTCCCTTCGTCTCACTCGAATGTGAGTAGTCTTTGCAGCTGGACCGGCCCCGATCTTTCGGTTCAGAGCCCCCAACTTGGAAGTTTAGTTCGATGCATCAAGCCTTTTGGGTGGCTTCCGTTTAGGGCTCAAGAAAGCATGCGGCCCGCCATCTGAAGGTTTAGGGTTCAGGGTTTAGTCGGAGATAAGGCCACCAGGATCACCGAAAGCTGGACCAAGCTTTCCGATGCAATTGCAAGTGTGTGGCCAGGTTGGCGATGAGGTCCGTGACTAGTGGCATCTTCCTATTGGAGAACACTTGCCAACATGATATCCTAACTGACTCGTGAGATGATTCTTCGTGCCTCTGTCTTTTGCTAACTCCCTCTCCGTCTCCTTCTCCCTGTCTCTCTCTCTCTCTCTCTCTCTCGCTCTCTTTTTCCATCTACCAGGTCTTCTGTCCGTCTATCTATCTACCTACCTATCTTGCCACTCAGCAACCGGAGGTTCCACGAACCCGAGTGTCGTTTCGTGTGGGCCTCTTGCGGGCTTTAGCCGCCGCGCAGCCGTAAACTGGCCCGGACCCCTCCTCAAACGTTATCTTAGCATTGCACAAGACTATAGTATATTCTTATTATACGATGACTATTGCAACGATTGTTGGTACTTATTACTATTGCTTGTGTGTAGGCTTAGTTTTAGTCTTATTCTTACTACCGTTCAGCGCCGCAACCCACCTGGCTGGCCCTTTGGTGCCGCAAGAAAGTTCACCGAGCCAGGGTGCTCGTGGAGACTGAGCCGTTTAAGGTTTACGCTTGGAGGCTTGTCAGGGTTTTGGGTATAGGTTTTAAAATTTAGGGCTTAGGCTGCAGCTTAACACTTTGGAGTTTTAGGGCTTCGGGGTGGGAGTTTAAGTAGGCTGTGGGCTTAGGCACTGATTTAGAGCTTGGGGTGTGGGGTCTTCAGGCCGAGGTAAAGCGCTTAGGGCTTTCAGGGTTAGGGTTCAGGCAAAGGTGGGCATTTAAGTAAGGGTTTGGGGTGCTCAGGATTCTGATTGTTCCTCTAAGTACAATGAGTACAAGTGCGACCGGTATTTCTTTGCAAGGGCAGTTGAGGGATCTCGGGGGTTGCTCGAAAATGTTGGTAGAGGGTTGAGGGTCCTCTTCTAAATGGGTGTTTTTGAAGTACCTACCTGCAAGTAGGCTCTATGCAAAAGGGGGCCCTGCAAGAGCTAACCCGACGTTGGCAGCGAGCTCGACTCTGCGATATTTGCACCCGCTCATGCTATCTCTGAGCATTGGAATCGAAGACCAGAAGCAATCCTGCAATCATGAGGACCCTTTCGGGGGGTATGGGGGCCTTAATACCTATAATAAGGACTGAACTAAGGCCTCTTTAAGGAAGTATAGTTCCCTACCCCCCTCCTCCCCCCAAGGATCCCTGTGATGCAAGGCGAAATGAGTCGCCTTTCGTTTTTTGCTCTCAGAAGTTTAGGGCCCAATGTGCACTGATACATTTTTTTGATTGTAGAAGGTGCTGCTGGGGTTTTTCCGTGGCTAAACTGAGCTTTGGAGTACCATACATTAATACTTTTCTGAAACGCCCGGTAAATGATCCCATCTAGTTAGCTTGACGATGACCTGCTGCCGGAAACCTCGTTTCAACGACAGCGCAGGGTGCTCTGGTCGATTTTGTTTCACCGTTAGCGAGGGCTCACTGGGCTCTCCGGAAGATGGCTCTGCCCAGAACACTGGTACCTCAGTGTAGGGTTCAGGTTGTTGGGGGCTATGGGGTCACATGATACTTCCCGGATCCTTGTTTAATGGCCATGGCTGGAGGCTGTTGAGGGTTAGCACTTTGTCCGCTATTCGTTGCAACTCACGAAGGTTTAGCCTGAACTGTCAATCTCGGCCCCTTAACGCTCGTCTCCAAGCCCGCAACCCTGAATCCTCCATCGCAGGTCCTGAAGCCTTACACCCGAAATTCGTCGCAGCGGGGGTTGGAATCAGGTGCAACGGCCGGAGCAGCCCCAGCAGGCCCTTTGTGGCGTAGACGCAGAAGACGGATGTAGACTGACCGGGAAGTGCGCAACGGTGTGGACGAAAGCCAGGCGTAAAGGCCGCACTCGTCCCTGAAACTACTTCAACACGTCATTTTAACCACGTTGTTCTGGCAGACATGTCTTGTGCCTCGGTTGCTCTGGAGGGTACTGACGACCCCTATCATGCCAGCGTAGACCCCCAAACAGTGAAATAACACCACGACCACTATGACGACCATGAATCAGCTGTTGTACCACAGCTACCACCACCACAACCTCCGACGACAACAACAACAAGGTAGGCGGCACCCCTGAAATCGAACATGTCTTTTGCTGCCGCGTCCCTGTAAAGAAACCGATACGAATATGAAAAGGCGACTTTTTGTCTTCTACACGGCCGTGTGCCACAAACTCGAGTTTCAGCACATTGCAGCCCTGAGATCGCTCCACCCTTCGCGGCGGCAAAGGCGACGGCCACCACCACCACCACCACCAACAACAACAAATGCAACAACAATAACCGCAATAATAACAAGTATAGCAACAGGAACAAAAGCAACAACAACAGCAGCAGCATTTTTGAAATGAACTCTTCGTGAGCGTGCTCTGCGCTTTCTGAATGGCAAAGGCAAAAAAGCACCCGGACAACCCGCAAGACCCAACAGAACAGAAGAGAACAGGGCTAACACACAGCGCAACAACAACAACAGCAACACAGCAACAGCAGCAGTAGCAGCACCAGCAACCACAACAGCAACAACAACAACAACAACGACAGCAACACAGCAACAGCAGCAGTAGCAGCACCAGCAACCACAACAACAGCAGCAGCAGCAACAACAACAACAACGACACTAGAAGCAACGACTTCGACGATAATGACCCTAGTCGCAGTGCATGTTTGCTGCTGGCTGCAATTTGCAGGCCCGGATAGAAAAGGTTTGTTTTACGCTCGGACTGGAAGCTCAAACACACAGTGAAGCCGGAAAACTCCTTCCCCATGTTAAGATTCGACGAATTACTCACAAACTCATGCATGCCTTGTCAGTGGCTTCTAGAGATGCTGCTGGCGGGTCATGGGGTCCCTCGACTTCTAAAGGTCCCTTATATAATTACAGGGGTCCCTGCAATAATGATCCTGCATTTTGAGGTTAATATGCCCAACCCGTTGAAGCCCTTGTAAGCCCTCGTCAAGCCTTTTTCGAACCCTGCAACTCTAAACCTCCGCACAGCTTTCGACGAAATGGGTGGTGTGGCATTTCGGCCCCAGCGTGAACACCCACACGCTTGCCGCAATCGACCTTCCCGTACTTGACATGAGATTCAGGGTTTTAAGATTTTCAGGTCTGAGTTTTCGGGGTTTCTCAGGTTCAGGATTCAAAGATGTAGGGCCCAGGCTTAAAGTGGCTGTTCAAGGTTTCATAACCAGCACACAAGAAGGATCTTTGCGCAGCCATGTCGGTGAGCAGCATTCTGATCTTGCTTCTGGCTGCATTCGCCAGATGTGCCGGGGGATTCGAGGCGCGGCTGCGTGCATTGTCTAGTGAGACCGTATCCGTGCCTGTACTGATCTGGTCCGCAGCCGAGATGCAGTACTACGTCATTATACGGTATGATTACAAATTACTAAGGTTGTTGTCTATAATACGACCTAATAGGTTTGGTATGGTATGATGCGGGATGGCATGAGGAAATACGGTATTGTTTGACACTTCATGCCCGGATCAGTTTGCATGATCTGATACGTTCTGCGACATGGTACAATACGACATGACAAGATATGGTCTGATCCGAAATGACAATGACACCCAAACACTTCGCTGGAGACGCAGGTTCTCTATGCTGGCGCCCCGAGATCGGGGACACAGACAATGTATCCCGATTTGTGATGTTGGCTCCCTTGAGGTCTCAAGCTGAGGGCTGGGAGTCTGAGACAGCTAATGTAGGAGCTTATTGACAGTGATTCTGCGCAAGGGGCCGTAAGTTGCGAGAACGCTTGCCAAACAACACACATGGTTACGTATGGCCACACTAACACAAACTGCAACGGTGGTGATGGTGATGATGATGAGGAAGAGAAGGAGGTGACGACCGACGATGGCGACAGCGATGATGATGCTGGTGACACAGTTGACAGGAAAGATCATAATGACGACGATGATGATGGTTGGCATGCCTTTGTGAAGCATTCGTTCCGTGACACTGTTTGTTCTGACGCTGGGCGCAGCCGACTGATAAAGATGTTGCTGGTAGTTGTGGCGATCATGGTGGTTGTGATGATGAAGCCGCCGCTGACATATTGTTGCAATTTATGGTGAAGAGAACGTGGAGGAGGTGAATTCTGATGTTGGCTAAGCTAGCAACGCACCCCCCTCCATCTCGCTGTGAGTGAGAAGGCGAACGAACGGATCACATGTCCTCGTTCAGACTGCCATGATGTCCAGGTACACTGCACTGAAGATTCTGGGATTGAATCCGCTGCATTCGGGCTACAAGTACCAGCTTCGCCCACCCATGTGCGAATACCTCTACGGCAGCCCGGTGAGTATCAGTCACCTAGTAGTCGAGTAGGTAACCTTTCACCTTTTTTGGGTAGTATAGTCCCTATATAATCCTTACCAAAAAGGTTAACTGAGAAGTAGGGTCAGATAGGGGGTCCTTCCTCTTGCCGAACATGGCCTGAGAACCAACACGACAACCGCTCAGAGCAAAGGTCGCTGCTGTGGATTTGAAGCTCTAAACCCTAAACCCTAAACCCTAAACCCCAAGCCCGCGCTAGTCTCTTTCTGGGTCTAACCACGCCTCACCCAGGAAACGGCACAAGAGAGAAAGCCATGAGCGTCTTCCACGAGTACGACGCGGCCATGGATGAGCCCGTCCAACTTATGTTTGAGGCTCGTGTGAAAGACCGCTCTGTCGTCCACCCTCACCCATGCCAGCCCTTAGTGCCCTTACAGCCGCAATGCTGGGAAGTTTTGGAATTTAGGTTCCCAGTAGGTTTTGTAGTAGGTTGTCGGTTGTGATTGTGACCTAAGCACAATCTGTTTCAGGACCTGGGCCCATAGTGGAGCAAATGTTAGTGGTAGTCGTCGTCGCCGCCGCAGCGGCAGCAGGGGTAGTAGTGCTAGCTGTAGTAGCAGTAGTAGTAGTAGTAGCAGTAGTAGTAGTAGCAGCAGTAGCAGTAGTAGTAGTAGTAGTAGTAGTAGTCGTCGTAGTCGTAGTCGTAGTCGTAGTCGTAGTCGTAGTCGTAGTAGTAGTAGTAGTAGTAGTAGTAGTAGTAGTAGTAGTAGTAGTAGTAGTAGTAGCACCAGCAGTAGTAGCAGTAGCAGTAGGCAGTGGCAGTGGCAGTAGCAGTAGCAATATAGTAGTACTGATAGTGTTAGTCGTCGTCGTCGTCGTAGGAGTAGGAGTAGTAGTAGTAGTAGTAGTAGTAGTAGTAGTCGTAGTCGTAGTCGTAGTCGTAGTCGTAGTAGTAGTAGTAGTAGTAGTAGTCGTAGTAGTAGTCGTAGTAGTAGTAGCTGCAGCAGCAGGAGCAGTCATCCGGCCTACTGCATACTGGATTGCCAGGGTATATGGAAGTGTCTAAGGCGGATGAAGGCAGATCGGATGCACAACATCACCCTGAAACCCAAACCCTCAACCCTTAAACCCTTAACCCTAATAAATAGTAATAGTAATAGTAATAGTAATAGTAATAGTACTAGTAATAATAGTAATAATAATAATAGTAATATTAATAAGATAAATAACTACACTACTATACACCCTAAACCATCATCCTTTGAGCCAGAGTGCTGTTGCTTCGGCGAGCCGCAGTTTTGGACCGACAAATCGGAAAAGCAGACGGGGCCTCAAGACCCCGCAGAAAGATAAGCACGTGGGGATGTTCCTTCTTTGTGCATTTGTCAAGGTTTGCTTTCCCATTTCTGGTGGCGTGTTTGAATATGGATCCTTCATCTGTCTTTATGCAAGCAAGGCATTGAATACTTGATGTTCAGTCTGATCTGGTTCACGAAGATTTTGCTTCGACTTGACTACCTAAACCATCCTGAACCCCTGAACCCTAAACCCTGACCCCACGCCCGAAACACTCACGCTAAGACCTATGTAACCTAAGGGCTTCAGCGTCCAGCCTAGCCGCAACGATCTGCACTGCCAGGAAATTCTCGAGGAGTTTCCGAAGTCAAAGGTGCGCCAAGAACGGGGCTTTGAGGTTTGGGTTTAGGGTTTAGGGTTTAGGACATCAGGGTTGTCAGGGTTGTGAGTCTGGACCCGAAGAAATGGTATTATCCATTACTTACAGGTGTTTGTATCAAGTTCCGGGTTCAGCGTTCAGGATTTGGAAGGAGATTGTCGCAAGCTGGTTCTCTTCGGGATCGGGTGTGCAGCAGTGGAAGGAAAACTGCACAACACTACTGCTACCCCCATGAGAATCTATACCTGAAGCCGTATTCCGCGAAGCTTAAGCCTGGACCCTAAAGGGCCCTTGCAGCTTTAAAGCAAAAAAAAACCTAAGCAAGCCTTAAGGGCATCAACCCAGACCCCAGGCTCAAGTCACTCCTGTTGCTGAACTCTTGGCGTCGAGCTAGCCCTCAAACCCCCAATCAACATCTCTACTTGGAGGTTCAAGGGGAGTTATAAGTGGGGTTATAAGTAAGGTAAGTATAGAATAACCCATGTTAGGGGACTTATAACCCCACTTATAACTACCCATGAACCTCCAAGTAGATCACCATCACTCAACCCCCAACACCCTGAAATAATCCGTACTCCAGCCTGGGACCCCCTAAACCCTGAAAACATTTTGGGGTTAAGGCTTCTAGGAGTCAGGATTTACCAACTGTTCAGTTTCACTGGCATGACCCCTGAAGGCAAACACAAGGCCTCCTAAGCAGCCGATGTGCCATCATGCCAGGTCGTTCTGCCCGTAATGAATGTGGAAGACTGGTACGTCTCAGAACGGACTTTTGGAGCATAAGACAGATGTCCGAATATTTTCTATTGGCAATCATTTCTTTTTAGTCCTTGTGTGAGAACAGTTAGTATACTTGCCAGCTGTATTAGGGCCCCGATATTAACTGAGCGCGGGATCTCGTACTAATGGTGGTGGTGGTGGTGGTGGTGGTGTGGTGGTGGTGGTGGTAGTGCTGGTAGTGCTGGTAGTGCTGGTAGTGCTGGTAGTGCTGGTAGTGCTGGTAGTGCTGGTAGTGCTGGTAGTGCTGGTAGTGCTGGTAGTGCTGGTAGTGGTGCTGGTGCTGGTGCTGGTGCTGGTGGTGGTGGTGGTGGTGGTGCTGCTGGTGGTGGTGGTGGTGGTGCTGGTGGTGGTGGTGGTGGTGCTGCTGCTGCTGCTGGTGGTGGTGGTGGTGGTGGTTGGTGGTGGTGGTTGGTCGTGGTGGTAGTAGTAGTAGTAGTAGTAGTAGCAGTAGTAGTAGTAGTAGTAGTAGTAGTAGTAGTAGTAGTAGTAGTAGTAGTAGTAGGCACCCCCCCCTACCAACTACATTTGCTCTTAACCATGTTAAGACAACATCCAATTTAACTCGGTATTTACGACACTTTCGTCATGTGCGATCATCATAACTCAGAGGCCTCAAAATCGACTTGTCGAGTTTGCAAACTCGGGCTCTTGATTTTGGACTTGCTTCTGGGGGTGGGTGGCGGGGGTGGGGGGGGGATGATGACGACAGTGTTACGCGAACACACCCAACAGCATCACCACAAGCGCCGTTTAACTCGGCATTTACGGTACTTTCGTGATGTCAGACTTTGTTAGATATTATGAGCCCCCACTTCTCGACTATGCGTATTAAACTTTGCTGTTTCGAACTGTTTGAAAAAAATCGAAACAGGGTGGGGGAAGGCTTCTTCGGGGATGATCACGACACTGTTTTGCGTACACCCTGAACAATATTTCGACACTCAAGTGCGCACACACCACAGACACCACTTCAAAAACAGACCCTCCTGCGCCGAGGTTGGGCGGTAGGGGTGTTGGCGAGCCCCTCCCACGTACAGCTGGCATCTTTGTTCTTGATGTTTAGAAGATGTTGCGCTTCAGGATATAAAAATGTTAAACCCTTCTTGGCAGCACCTGCGTTGTGCACGATATTTACAGCGTTTTCGTACTATCCGACCACCTACGGTTCAGCAGTTTCTTCCCCGTCGAGCTTGCAACTCCAGCTGTTGTCGCAGTTTTGGGGCCGGAGACCCTCCAACTTCAACGGCTGTGACAGTGAAGGAAAACTGAGCCTCTGCAACTTCTGCAGTTGTCGCAGATAGGGAGCCTGAGCCCGTGCATCTTTTGCAACTGTCGCAGTTAAACCGCTGCCCAGCCCGGATGGAACAAGTGTAGTTGGGAGGGGGGGGTGGCTAGTACTAGTATTAGTATTAGTACTAGTACTAGTACTAGTACTAGTGCTACTAGTACTAGTAGTAGTAGCAGTAGTAGTTGTTGTTGTTGTTGTTCGGAAGTGCTCTCGGCTGTTTCGGCTGCATCGCGTCGGAATTTCTCTCAACCCATCTAAGCACCCCGAAGCCCGTGCACGACCCCGCAAATACTCCAATAGAACCCTACTCAACGCTACAAGGTTTAGGGTGTAGGGGTTCAGGGTTTAGGGCTACATGCCAAACACGCGAAGTTTTCAACTCCATGCGGTCGGCGGTTTCTGCCTGCTGCCAACCTGGAACCTTTGAAGAACCTCTTGGGGAGATCCGAGACCCTGAAACCCTTTGGGGCTTAAATACGGTTTATAAAGGCCTAGTAGTAGAGTAAGCAACCTTTAACCTTGTTTTGGTAGTATAGTCCCTGTGTAATCCCTATATAACCAAAGAGGTTAACCTCTAGTTCCCCATGATACCCGACGAGTAGGAAGGTAACATAATGGGGATTCATGAAAGTCAGAACTACGGTTGCTAATTCAAGGTCGGGGTGTTAGGATTGAGTCTTGAGACTCAAACCCACGGGCCATGTTTGGGAAGAGAAGCTGCCGTCCCTTTGGGCAGAGTTTTGCCCAGGTGTTGCCGTCTAGGGCTACATATGGGTAGTTCTCTCAATTAGGGTCCCTTTTAGGGTCCTTTTTTAATAAGGGTGCCATATTATTGTGGTGAATAGTGACTTCCCCATATGCATAGCGGCCTCATTTGCCCCGTCGTTATCTTGGTGTTGAGCCATAAACTGCCATAAACAGTATGCCAGAATCCGCTACGTGCAAACTTGCTGAGGAACTATTTCAAAGATTGGGCCTACCCCACGGAGCACAAGGCATCCGATTCAAATCCGTCAAGTAAGATTTGTTTTAGGGTTTTCAGAGTTTACAAGTGTGTCAGCGGGGAGTCAGGGGGTTTCAGAAGGCTGTTTTCGCCCAGAAGATTAGGAAAGCTTCTCTAAGCACCAAACCCAAGTCCGTAGATTAAACCCTACGATTGGACCCTTGAACCCATATCCCCAAACAAAAAGCATCCCTAAATCCACCGCGAGCAGGAGGTCGAAATGGCAGAGGCCTTGTTCAAGATTCCGCAAAACATGAGCTACGATTATTGGGATGCAGGTTGGGAAGCAATGTTCCTTGCCTTTCGAACTGGCTGGAAGTGCCGATTCGAGGTTAGGGTTTACCTATAATTTTCATTGTAGTTCCTTTTTTTGGTTAACCAATTTTATGGTTAGGTTCCTATAATAGAGATTTTGGTTAACCAAAACAAGGAACTACAATGGAGACTACAGGTAGGATTGGATACCGGGTCGACCGTCTCGGTCTTTCGGTGTTGCTTCTTAAGGGGAACTTGCTAACAGTAGCCTTTAGGATCCTCGGCTTGGCGACCCAAGGCGACACCCAAAACAGCAGGGAAGAAGGGAGCCGCTACCTTACTACGGTTGATGATATAAATCCCGCATAACCCATAATACGGAATATACCATAAATCCCATAGTCTAGGGTCCTTAGGGTAATGCAGGATTTATATCATCAACAGTAAGGTTCCTTTAAAGAGGTCTACAAGGGTTTACTATAAGGGATACTATAAGACGATTATAAGGGTAGTGTACTAGAGGGGCCTAAATATAATTACCAATACAACTATTGGGGGGTTCCTTATTATAACGATGGTATAATGTAACTACCAATACTATTTTGGGGGTTCCTTATTATAACTATGGTATCATGGGCCCCAAAACCCTATTCTAATTATCAACTCCTATATTAGACACCCTGAAGGCGTGAGGATGAGGGTTTCGGGCTGAGTGAGCAGGGGGCTTGGTTTAGGGTTCAGGGCTTGGGGATGTGGGCTTAGGGATTAGGGCTCAGGGCCTAGGGACTGAAGTGTAGGGCTTCAGGGATTACGGCTCAGGGATTGGGCTTAGAGATTAGGGTGCGGGGTTTGGGGCCCATGCTCTAGATTACTTCAGTAAACCCAGGCAGGGCTAACTTGTATTTGGGGCTTGGTAACCAAGATCCCGCAACACTTCATAGATGCCCTGAACATTCGCAACCACAAGTGGGGGATGTTACCGCTGGGTGTACTCGTGAGGGTACCTAGAACGCACCGGTTTCTCACAATCAGGCTGCCGGAATTGCATCCCAGAAGGCCCCTTTATTAGACTACCCTTATGGATCCCTTGTAGTAGCCCTTACATAGCACTCTTTAAAGGAGCCCAATTGAAATAGACATCACCAGGACAACTCAACACTCCAAACCAAGCCAAAGCCCTACTGCCCTCGAAAAGGCGGATTGAGCCAACCCTTGAATCATACCAGTCTCAGAGCAGCCTAGTACCTAGTAGCAGAGTAGGGAACCTTTAACCTCACCTTTTTTGGGTAGTATAGCCCCTATATAATCCCTATATAACCAAAAAGGTTAATTTCGTTCCCCGTGATACCCGACAGGAAGTAGATATCACCATGCTCTAGGCTCAAGATTTAGGGCTTTGGCTTTGTTTTACGGGGTTGGAGTGCAGGTCGGGGTTCAGGCTTTTAGAGGGCTGGGGGTGTGGGAGATGTGAGTTCGGGGTTTCGAATTTTGTGGCTTGAGGGTTTAGGGGTTTAGGGGTTCAGGGTTTAGGGGTTTAGAGTTTAGGGGTTGAGGGTTTAGGGGTTGAGGGTTTTAGTGGTTTGGGGTTTAGGATTTAAGTTGGTGTCATGTTGTCTCCAACACATCAGGTACAAGAGTGACTGGACTTTGGATCACTGCTGGGCCTGCCGATATTGGGACTGCGCCTTCTACAAAGAGCAGGGCAACATGGACAAAGGATGTTTGACCCGGGACCGACTCTATATAGATGTACTTGGAGGTTCATGGTGCGTTTTAAGTGGGGTTATAAGTAAGTAGGGTAACTATAGTTACTATAGTTATCATCCATATTCGGGGACTTATAACTCCATTTCAAACTCCCCATGAACCATATTCGGGGACTCATAACTCCGTTTGTAACTACCCATGAACCTCGAAGCAGGGGTCTCCAGAGGCAGTGCCAAAGCCTGTTCCAAGTACTTCAGGGGCTCCTTGCCTTAGTAGCTGAGTGGATACACTTTACACTTTTCGGGGCATTACACACGGTAAAACTGAAAGTGTACACTTTTTGGGGCTTCTGAACTCAGCATCTAAGAAGTAGCGAAGATAGGTGCCCCTCCACCTGAAGATGTCGAGGTAAGAAGTTAATTCGATGGGGTTTAGAGTTCAAGCTATTCGGGTCGAGGCCACCCGGAAGCTTTCAAGGTGCGGGACTTGTTCCGTCTTGAGTTTCCAGGTATGCCGGCCGAGCAAAACAAGACGTGCAAGGATGGTTACCAGGCCTTGCTGCCTTGCTGGATGTGCCCTAGTTTGGGGTTCAGGGGTTAGGTTTTGGGGTTTCGGGCTCATGGTTGTGCTTTGCGTGCCTGTGCTCTCGGGGGGTTTACTTTTATGAGATGTTCTGATACATATGAATCCCAAGTGGTAAGAAGTAGTCATCGGTTGCGGGCGTCATCGCAGTTAGCTCCAAACCCCAAGCCCTTCTTTGGAGCACGTTGCCCCAAAACTCTACAACGCAGAGCCTAAATGTCCACAGATTGCAGGGGCTTCTCGAGTATGAGCTCTAAGTTCGCATGCGTTTTTTTGTGGATCTTGGGGTCTGGGTTCGTTGATCTCGGGTTTCAGATGTCAGTCTTCGCCAGGCGCACATGGACCGCGTGAAGCCTCTTGGATGGCCTTCATATCGAGTTCCGAAGATAGATGACCCCGGTAGACCCCGGATTGCGGAATCAGAATTCGGAATGCCTACCTCTAAGGTTGCTTATATGAAACATGCACTCCCAAGCGATACACCAGAAATCTCCTGCTGAGTCTTCGTCGAGCTAGGTGCCTAACCACAGTACCCTCCGAGCTCACAAAAGCGTGAAGCGCCGAGCCCTGGTTAGCTTCTACCGAACAAAACAGGTCGTAAACCCAGCACATTCAGCTTCATACGAGATACGCCCCCAGAGCCCTGAACCCGACGCCCAACAGCCCCCACATCAATGCCATTGTCGAATCTCATGCATTGCGTTTATAGAATCTCCGGTATCGGTTTCCTCGCTCCTAGGGTTATTTGCGGCTTGGAGACTTCTGTTGTTGGGTTTGGGGAGCAGGCTTTGGGGTCTTGGGGCTTAGGATGCTGAGCTCAAGGTTTAGGGGTTTAGGGTGTGTTGAGGATCCTGAACCTTGACGCAAAACTATGAAGGACTGCACTCAACAATCCCTCTTCAACTCGAAACTCTGATAAGCACCCTATAAAACCCCTTCTTGCAAGGACACTGGTGCCTCCGGAGAAACTGCTGATCTTCAACTTCTCAGACTCCCTGTGTGAAGATCTGGGAGTACGGGGTTCAAGATTTAGCGTTTCGGGAGGGTTTCGGGATTGAGGGTCGAGGGTTTCGGGGTTTAGTGGTTTAGGGTTCAGGGTAAGGACATATTAGGACTGTAGGGTTCGGGGTTAGCAGCATCAAGGATCTTTTAGGGGCGGTCCAAAACATGGTTTCTTCCCCATGCTCTAGGATGTTCCTTACGGTGTGCGCCATTAATTACTAGATCCTGAAGACTTAGACACTCTTACACCCTAAACGCTGGAGTGCCCTGGTGTTGAAGGGGGGGAGATAGTCCTCGGTTGGGGCTTACGGAGGTTCAGGGTTTCGTGCTCAAGATTTCACGCAGCCGTCAGTACCGCATGCAGGCCGTGTATATGTGGCCTCACCCTGGCACTGGAAGGCAAGAAAAACAAGAACAGGCAAGGTTTTTACAGCCGTCGCAGAGTGGGGCCTCATACATGGCAAATCTCGAAGTTCTTGACGTCAAAAGTCCAAACAGTACTGCTCCGAGTCTTTGGTTTAAGCAGCCTTGCAGACGAAGTCAACAGCACTGTGGAGAACATGAAGTCACCAAGGCTACTAGGCCAGTCAAGCAAGCTTAGATATTCTTCGCGCAGCATCTTCCCTGCATCCCTCCAGGTTAGCTGCGACTCGTCCCCAGCAACCTGGGCAAGTAAACAACAAGCGCCGCCTTTAAAGAATCACGCATAGGAAGGGACCGGGCGCCGCGAATCCCAAGACGACCCTGAGCCCGGGAACCCTGGATCCCGGAATCATCGAAGAGAAAGCCGAGCTCTAAACAGATGATCCCTAGAACCATGCGACCATGAAACCTAAGACGAACTCCGAGGACGGATGGGCACCACTTTGCCATTTTCTGGGACGACCCATCCCGGAGGAGCCCTTCCCCTACACGGACAAGTTCAACAAGGAGAACCCAAAAGCCTTAAACACGAAACCTGAAGCTCTTGTAGGCAAGGAGCCATGAGGACCATAGTAAAATAGTACTAGCAATCACCACCCGCATCATCACGACGATGGTGGTAGTAGTAATCTTGACACTGCTACTCCTACTGCTACTGCTGGTGCTGGTACTGGTGCTGGTGCGGCTGCCGTTGCCACTGCTGCTGCTGGTTTCTGCGGTGATGATGGTAGTGGTAGCGGTAGTGGTAGTGGTCGTCATTGCGGCGGTGGTGGTTGTGGCGGGGCGGTTTTGATGGTCGTGGTCGCGGCCGCGATCGTGGTCGCCATCGCGATAGTGGTCGTCGTGTCCGTGGTAGAAGTAATTTTACTAATAGAAGTGTAGCAGTAGCATTAGTGATTAGTGCTACCAGTAGTAGTGGTGGTAGTAGTAGTCGTCGCCGTCGCATTCCTAGTAGCATTCGCACGCATTTGTAGCATTAGCTTTTATAGCGTTAGTATTAGTATTAGCAGTCGTACTAGCATTGGTACTAGTAAGAGTACTAGTCTTGGTCTTGTAGGGGTAGTAGTAGTAGTAGTAGTAGTAGTAGTAGTGGTAGTAGTAGTAGTAGTAGTAGTAGTAGCAGCAGCAGGAGCAGGAGCAGGAGCAGGAGCAGGAGCAGGAGCAGTAGCAGTAGTAGTAGTAGTAGTAGTAGTCGTCGTCGTCGTCGTCGTCGTCGTAGCAGTAGTAACAAACCGTTCAAAACTGACTAGAGCACTTCGGGCAAAGAAGCCACTCGAAAGGGATTATATAGAGCATCTAAGAACAGGGAATAGGGGTTGAGAAAAACCAGTAAGCCTCTTGCAAAGGGAAATAGCAAGCCGCTTGAAAAGGACCATCGCCGTTGAAAAAGGGAGGTAGCATTCGAGAAGACAGAGTGAGCTGCTCGAAACGGACTAAAGCCTTCGACTCGTTTTGATTTCGTAGCAGGCACGGCCTGAACCTGATGACGTCCTTGGTCTAGTCCGTCTTGATTTCAGAACATGCAAGGCCGAAACTTGGTGATGTCCATCCCGGTTTTGCTTTCAGAACACCCAGCGCCCAAACATGCCGAATGGAGTCCACGGCGTAATCCGTCTTGATATCAGAGCATCGGTGGGGTTCGACAGTTGGGGAGGGGCTTTTGACCTGCAGCTTCGTGGCGGTTTGGGGTTTAGGGCTTGAGTTCAAAGACCTGCCAGTGTAAACCATAAATTACAGAGTCCCAGAACTTTACGTCGAAAGCCTAAGACCAAACCCTTAATCCCACATGATGGGTCTATATAGCCTCTGGAGCTTAGGCTTCAGAGGGCTTTAGGGCAACGAAGGGTAGCCGCAGGAGCTTCAATCGCAATCTGCAGAATGCTCTCAACTTCTAGTCCCTGAACCCCTACACCCGACACCTTCAAAGCCGAAGCTACAAGTCCCTCACTCCAACTCGGAGGATACACCGGAAGTTGAAGCATTGTCGGCCAGCTTCTTACAAGATGGCATCGAGCTTCTTCCCACTCGGCTCAGTAGTGAGCTGTAGGCCATCAGCTAGTCCCGCTCTCTCGCCGAAGTTGTGTGAAGACCTGGGGTTGTGTTGGGTCCGCTAGGTCAAACGGTTGGCTTTGCTTCTGCATCTTGTAAACAACCTCTTTTCGGAGAGTCCTCGACAGCTTACAATTAGGCTTCGGGGAGAGAACTTCAGAATTTCTGCTACCCAAGCCCCGAGAACCCAGCACACTCTTCCCCCAAAACGACACCACGCGAGCTGGGGTTCTGCCGCCGGCTGTGAGCTCCTGTAAGAGAGCCCCGTGCCGTCCAGACCCGGTCGAAAAGAGCTTGTCCGAAAGTTTAGGGCTCTGGGGTTTAAGGCTTTGAGGTTTTAGTCCGTGGGTAGAAAATCATCGGAAAAAGAATTAAGGGAATGATACCAATCAGATATGTAGCACTAGTGGGAGGAGGAGGAGTAGTAGTATATACCGAATTGTCGTCGTAGTGGGTCTTTGAGTTTTCGCTGCTGCAATAGCGCAACTGGGAGTCAGGGCAATAGAAAGTGAAAATACCGACGAGAGTGCTGGAGATTTTGGCCCTCGGTGTTTCGGACCTTTCGATTTGGGGGTTTCGATGGCCAGTACCACCACACTACTGCTCCTGCTCCTGCTCCTGCTTCTGCTGCTGCCGCTGTTGCTGTCGCTGTTGCGGCTACTGCTACTGTTACCACAACTGTTACTACATGCTGCTACAACAACCAGCAGCAGCAGCAGCACAGGCAGTCATTGTGTCCGCATCGTAAGGTTGTCGTAGTATAGTAGTCATCTTCGTAATAAGAGCAGGGGAGCAGCAGAGTGGCAATTTGGAAAGCTTGAGCTTGGCAGTAGAGGCGCGGGACGTAAGTGCGATCAAGGTTCGAGATGTACGTCCTTTGTTTGTGCTGCAAAACGACAGGCTGCAAGAGAGTTAGAAGGTGTTGAAAAGCGTCATAGATGCAGCAAGCTCTCACCACTCCAGTTCACTCACGATTTAAGACTTGGCCACGGCTTAGGAAAAGCAGTCCCTTGTCACTTGTTGAGCTACTCATCTACGTGAAGCTCATGGATGTTGCCGAAACTCTACTCGCGGCGTAGCTAGGACCATGGCAGATGGCTCGCAGTTCGTGCGAGTCTTGATGGCATTGGAGGGCAGTTGGGTGGTCGTCAAAATTAGGGTGGCTTTTTGGGTCCCTATTATCATACGGCACCTATTATTTAGGGTACCCAGAAAGGGACCTTAATCTTAACAACTATCCAGTTCAGTGTCTCAGACATGCTTAAACCATAGAGGGATGCGCACGAGGACAACCAAGAGACCACTGCGAGACCCTAGGAGCGCCAGGAGACCACGAGAATGTGTTACCCAAGCTACTGCCGCATTCAGGACAACGCCCAGGATGCTTTCCAGAAGGAATCGGAAGCAGAGTGCAGAGTACTGGCTGATCCAGGAACGGTGAGACCTCGTACTGGACCTGCTCCCACGCTCACAAGAACAAGAGTAGCTTCAGCAGTTCGCATGCCGAAAACTGAGAGCAAAACAGTCAACTCCTCCTGCTTTAAATTTAGATAGTCAGAACCCGCACGACGCAAGATCATTGGCTTCATCAGACTCAACCCCCCCCCCCGAAAAAGAAGCAACAAAAGGAAGATCTTTCAAGCCTGCTACACTGCCACACCCCAGACCCGTAACCTCAAACCCGAGAGGCTGTAAAGCCTGGCGTTCCAAGGAGTGGTGCCGAGCCCAGCGGCAGAGGATTCGTCGCCCAACACGGGTGACCTTGTGCTTCGGTGGCCTCTAAGACTCTAAGGGTGTCTTTGAAGGTCCTTTTCCGGCTTCTACTTGGAGGGTCATGGGACTGAGTAGATAGGGTTATAAGTACCTTTACAGTATATGTAATTAGAATATAACTGTAATTTCCTTACTTATAACCCCAATAACTAAGTCCCATGGTCCTTTAAGTAGGGGCTTCAAAACAAGAGTTCAGCTCCGGAGCCTGAAACAGCAAAACGTTTAACTCAGCGTTCGTGCATGTCCTCGAGGCCTCGGTCGTTCAGCTGGAAATATAGGGGCCTTAATAATCACCTATACTATTTTGAGTGGAATCCTTACTATAAATATCGTAGAATATATATATATATATACACCCCATAATCCTATTCTAATTGTTCAGGCCCCTACATTAGAGGCCTCGGTCATGCAGTTGATCATCCGAAAGCTTCGGCTGGCAGTAGGGAGCCGATCTGAGATATCCAGACGAAATCAGCCGAGAGCCCTGAACACCCCTATAGTCTCCATTGTAGTTCCTTTTTTTGGTTAACCAAAATCTCTATTATAGGATCCTAACCATAAAACTTAAAAAGGAACTACAATGGAAACTATACGCCCTTCTGGACGTTTGGAAGCCCTGTACGGCTTAGAGGTTTAGGGGCTAAGGCACTTGGTCACTTGGCGGTTTAGAGTTGAGGCTTTTGCTGGCAGAAGCCAAAGAGCCGGGACATAGACATTTGATGGTTTAGGCTAGCTTTCTCTTTTTTCGGGGCTTGCGGCTGGAACATAAACTTGGTGCTCCAACTTTCCCCTTACCTGTGCCAGTAGAAGCCAGAAAGATGGAACGTGGTCATCCTAGGGCGCAGGTAAAAAAGTAGGGAAAACCGGCGCTGCTCATCCCAGCCCACATTCCTGCAAGCCGAAAGAACTAGACCGTCAAAATTGAATCTCAAGCAAATTCTCGTCCAAGAGCCGCGGAGAGCTGCAGAAACGGTTGAAGCAGCAAACGATCTGCACTTCCTGGTCCTCCTGTGGGATTGAGAATCAGCGGTTTTTTCGCGGGAGTGACTTTTCTGCTTTTCTGTGGGCAAAAAAGACTGGGAAGGGCCGGAATTTCACTGCATTTTTGGGCCTGCTGAGGGCACGCAGCCCACCTTGAATGGTAATGCAGGAACCTGATTTAGAAACCTTGTTCCTATAACCCCCAAATAGTAGGATTCACAGAAGGAAAACTAATAAAGGCCCATTGTTTCTTAATCAGGTTCCTACATTCAGCCCTGTTTGAGCTTAGGGTTTTTAGCCCTTCAGCCTTTTGTTCTTGCTCTGTACCCTGAACCCTCGGAGCTTGCAGTAAGAAGTGAGCCAAGGTACAGTTCACCACTGGGCCCTTTGGCCTGTGAGGATGGGCGTGGCGGTCAGGATAGGATCATTAAACCACCATGGGAGTTTCCGAAAATAAGGGGTACCTTATTTTGGGGGTCCTTATAATGAGGATCCTACTATTTAGGGTACCATATTAGGGTCCCCTATTTTGGGAAACTCCCCCATTGCTGGTTATTGATGTTAGTTTGTGGCTTGCCACTCAAGTCTCAGACCCTAAACATTAAAACCCAAACCTTTATTAAGCCTTAATTAAACACCAACGCTTAGATCTTGGCACCTAAAACCCTACAAGGCTTGAGCCATAAGCCCCTAATCTCCAAGTTGAAGGGTTCTCTGGAGCCTTTATGAAGCCCAGCAGGCCCACTTGGCGCTCCAGTGCCGCCAAAAACAAGAAGGGACCTAAATCCTAAACCCAAATGCCAAAACCCACCAGCCGGGGATTAACTATGAACCCAAACCCGAAACCCATCAAAACCGAGGATTTATTATGTGGAAGAGGATGAGGAGTTCCTGACCGTGGACATCATGCGGCTGGGAAGCCTCCGCGGGACTGTGACGGTGGATTTCTACACCGACCCTTGCCCTGTCCTTAAGGAGTTTAGGGTCTGGGGTTTAGGGTTTCAATATAGGGTTTAGGGGTCTAGGGTTTAGGGTTCCGATAGGGTTCAGGGGTCTAGGGTTTAGGGTTTCAAAAGGGTTTGGGGTCTAGGGTTTAGGCTTTCAATAGGGTTTAGGTTTCACGATGTGTTGTTTTCGTAACCAGGTTCTTCTTCATAGCAGTATAAGGTGAAGGTATTACTAAGACGATGGAGTTTGGTGGTGGGCCCAATGGGCATATGGGAGTTTCCGAAAATAGGGGACCCTAATATAGTACCCTAAATAGAAGGATCCTTATTATAAGGACCCCCAAATAAGGTGTACCCCTAATTTTCGGAAACTGCCATATAGTGCAGAGCCTGTGACAAAGAGCTTGGATTCTGGGACATCAAAAGAGTTTGCGGTTTTCGGCCATGGAGCTTTAGAGTGTAGGGTTTAGGGTAGAAGGAAGTCTCGTAAATCCCCCTTAACCAGAATACCTTGAACTCCAAAACACCGAAAGCAGTAAAGCCTTGACATCCCAAACCCTGAAGCACCACTTACAGGATCATGGGAAAATAGTGACTAGGGTTCTAATTAGTGTAACTGTACTTATAACTACTTATAACCCCAGTTAAGGTACTTATAACCTGACTTACTAAGTCCCATGATCCTCCAAGTAGAACCCGAAACCCTGAACCCTTGAACCCTAAAGCTTTACACCCCTCAGACCTAGAACCCTAAGCCAGTCTCAGGAAGATGGTTCTGCAAAAGCTGGCAAGCAGTACCACAAAGCCTCCGGCCAGGCCCGTTTACTACAGGGGCCTTTGCAATTGCCTATGATGATTTGGGGGTTCCTTATTATTACTATTATTATTATTGTGTGCCCTATTCTAGTTACTAAGGCCCCTATATCAATGGACTGTAAAAGGTCTCAAAGGGAGTTTGGGTGGAAAAGGGTATCCGTGGTGGCAGTTTGGGGTTCAGGGCCAGGGGCTTTGAGTTGGACCCTCCCTGCACCGAACATCGAGTCTCGTGCAAAAAATGCAGCATTTTTGGAGGACTTCGGTGCGTTTAAAAAGGAAAAGCCCGGATCCATGGTCTGGCGTGCCGTGAGCTGCGGCGCTACGGTTGATGATATAAATCCTGCATTACCCATAATAAGGAATATACCATAAGTCCCATACTTTAGGGTCCTTAAGGTAATGCAGGATTTATATCATCAACCGTAGCATTGGCAATGTCAATGGCGTGGAAGCTGCACCGGCAGCTCTTGTGTCAGCGGCGGTGGTGGGCGGTGGGAGGAGGAGAAGAGCAGACTTCAGCAGCAACCGTAGTAGCAGCTGTCAGGGGTTCGATAATGTCGATCCAACTTCCTCTTTTGCTGATGACCAGCATTATCTGCTGACAAAGACCCCGACCTTGCAGCAATCTATGCAAAGAGGTCCAATATCCCCAGAGATCTGCCCAGCATTGCCCTTCCTCCTGAACTAGGATCTCCATCAGTACCCTTATTCCCTTTTTGTAGTCCTAGGTTCCTTATAAAGTTACCCAATACCAAAAAGAGAGGCCTTTTTATTCTTAGGTTACTGGGTATCCTAGTGAACTGTGACACCTGAACCCGACAGCTCTGCAGGTCGAGTTCAAGGACCGCGAGCATCCCGGCTTCCTTCATCTTTTCAACCGGACATGCCGAATCTATCGGATTGTACCACTTTCCATCGTGTGACATGATAGCTTTCGAAACCTGGGGTGTTGTAGCGGAGCAGGGCAGGCGCTTTGGAATCCAGGCCTGCAGACGGTGCTGTTCAGGCTTCGCGCTTTTGTCCTATTGTCCCGGACTTGGTTTTCGAAGCAAAGTCTGGGGTAAACACAGGCATAGGTAAACATGCCGCAAGAGCCAGGGCGGTCATGTCCCCAAGTCTTCGCATTTATAGGTTGGTAATTATACAGCTGCACCAGGAAGCTCGAGGTCAGTGTCTCTTCTGGCACCCGCTCCTTTGGGGTAGCTTTGAGGATGTTTGAGAATTTGGCGGCCACTCGAAGAAACAGAATCTCTGATTGAATTCCGCAAAATGTGCTGCAAACTTCAGCGAGTTTTTTTGGCTCTACGTTCAACTCCAAAAGGCAGCAGAAAGTCTTCGTCAAGCACAGATGCCAACAGCTCAAGAGTCGGCGTGGCTGCTGGCAAGAATGAACCTTCCTCCGATGCCAGATGTCTTTGTCATAGTTGGGTAACATTTTGCATGTTTATGGGTACTTAAACCCAAGAAGGAATGTACATGTTTTATCCTATCCCAACAATGAACTAGATGTTTTTCAGGACCTTACCACAACACTGATACTCGTACTGGCACCATGGGCTGAGACAAAAGCGACGAGTGACGAAGCGGCCTAGAGCCCGGACAGCAGCAATATGGGAGTTTCCGAAAATAGGGAACCCCATAAGGTACCCTACATAGTAGGATCCTTACTTTAAGGACCCCCAAGTAAGGTACCCCTAATTTTCGGAAACTCCCATATTGACAGCATTGCCAGGCAGTTATGAACATTGGTTGCAATCCCAGTGCTTTGCAACCCCTGTCCGGCCCGGGTCAGACACCAAGCAAACGGAATTTCACCCGCCGTAATCGAAACAAGAAGAAGATGTGCGCACCGCTACAGAAGCATTCTTACCCTGACCATAATGAATGACGGTCGCCATCATCGTCCTCATCATCTCTAGCTGTAGCAAGCAGCAGCAAGCCAAGTAACTTCCGATGCCCCACCACAGGTACCGCCAGTCTATACAGATCCAGACCGTTTCCAGTCCACTTTGGAGTCCAACGCAGCTTTGTTCGCAAGCTTCGAAACGTCTAAGCAGTCTAGCCCTGCAGCTTTATCGAGGCTTACGGTTTAGCATTCAGGGCGTAGGGCATAGATTTTAACTAAACCCTAAACCCCCAGACCCTAAACCCTTTGAAACAAAAATACCCTAAACCCATTAAAGGACGGATGAAGATTCAGCAGCCCAAATCCCCTACACGCAGCAGCAACCTCTGCACCACAGGCATCCCTGGCCCTAGAAATCCCTTAGTCTGAATCCTGCTAATTTCGAGTTCGCAACGGTTCGTCCGAAAAAAGCAGCAAGTAAATACACATATACAATGTAGCTCAGTTTCTTACACTACTGAAACATGAACTGGAGGAGTTGAGGCACTCCTCAAGTAGTTTTACCTCATAGGTTCTCGGGTTACAGGGTCTTGTCTTGCCGTAAGTCATGGTGTCATGCATTATTTGCAGTATTCTTCCGACCCATGTACTAGTAGTAGTAGCAGTAGTAGTGGTGGTAGTAGTAGTAGTAGTAGCCTCTTAACTTGCCGTCTGGTCTCGCCTAACCTCGCAAAGAAGCTTCTAAGCAGATCACGCTTATCAGGGTTTTCAGGGTGCTGAGCCCCGAGTCCTGCAGCCCAGAGAGCGGATTTCAATGAGTTTTCAAGACCCTGAGAGATGCCGAGATGTGGAACCTAAATTCTAAACCCTTCAACCTAACGCCAGGCCAACTTAGTCTGACGAACCTTCTGAGCTTCTGAGCTCCATACATCCTGAACTCAAGTCCTAAGCCGACCACCCCTCCGAACCCTGAAGCCCCGAAGTGACAAAATACCCAAGCCACGCCGGGTTTCTGTGCAAGCAAAGCTGCAAGCCATTAGAAGACCTTGAGATCACACCCAACTGAAACTCCCAAAGCACTAGCAGAAAAAAGCCTTCAACCCTACACCCAACGAGTCCCTGTCCCAGCCCTGGTAAGATTACGTAATAGAGGGGCCTTAATAATTAGAATAGGGTTTGGGGGCCCATTATACTATAAGTATAATAGGGAACCCCCAAGATAGTAAAGGTTTTTATTTAGGCCCCTAAAGTATGTCAACTTAGATCCGCAAAGGCTGACCATGACGACCAGGAGACAGCCCGTAGACCATCAGGAAAGCAGGAAGACTAAGAGAACTAGCAGGATGCCACCGGGACACCACTGCCACTTTGTGTCCCTCCATCATGTGAGAGTTACCACAAATTAGGGGTACCTTATTTGGGGGTCCTTTTGATAAGGATCCTACTGTTTAGGGTACTACATAACGGTCCCCAATTGTCGGAAACCCCCAAGTACTGGTGGTATTCAGGCTCACGGCCCGCAACCGTTCCCCGCCCACAAGTCTTCCTCCCGGCACTGGCAGATTCAGCTGCATGGCCAAGTGCTTCCCCCATGTAAAGTGGCCCATACATTGGTTTGCAATGGAACTGGCTTTCCTCAGTAATGCGGCGCGACGAGTGTGCACTGCACCACTGCCGAATCCGCGTCCCGGGGAACGCTTTCCGCAAAAATCTGAATGTCCTTGAAGATCGCGTATAGGACCCTTCAAGTAATCCGTATAGCAACTCTTACAATCCTAAACTATCCTAAACTGATAAACAGGCTCGAGTTCAAGATCCACCTGGTGAATCCAACTGGATGCTCGGTAGGCCTGAAGTCCCAGCGGAGAGGGGGAGCCGGGGTTTTAGGTTCAGGGGTTCAGGAATTTAGGGATTTAGGGTGTAGGGTCGGCTTTAGGGTTGTGCCTTGTCCTGTTTTTGCTGCTAGCGCAGAGGCCTAACTACTTGTTCTGTGTTTCCCTAGTGTCCCTTATTCTGTTCATACTGTGATATATCCCCAAACCTTGTTCGAAATATTGAGGCCCCAGTACTGTTGAGGTTGCTGATACTGTTGCACTCTAAGCTCTGGTCCTCGGGCTGCAGCTAAGTTCCACCAGCAGCATTTGTAGCAGTCGTATCGAATCAGAAGATGGAGCTACACGAGTGACAGGTGCATCAAGAACAACAGCAGCACACAAGTACTATGTACAGTGCTTATAACGATGGCGGCGTTCATCGCCATGGTGAGCGCGATAAGACTAGCGGAACCGTTACTGTATCAGCAAGTTCAACAAAAATTGAGCATGATCGTTGCTCGTTCGCACAACCTGCCAAGTCAAGGACTGTTTCGCAATGATAAAAGGGAACAGAACGGAAGCAGCATTAAGTTGCAGTGCTTTGCCGGCAGTCAGCACCTACTATCGCTCTGAAACTTCAACAGGCTTACGAACGTAATGGCTTGGCGGATTGGATCCACAAATATGCATATCAAACACCTAAGCATGTATAGCTTGATATAGATATAGATCTAGATATACAGGAAATATGTGTATATGCTGTTGCTGCTACTGCAACGATATGTGCTGCTGCTACTGCTACTGCTAGTTATCATCTTGGTTGTCGCTATCAACGCACTTCCCAACATGACCCTGAGCCATGATGAGGCATGCACTTGAGCTCATGCCGAGTCAAAGTGATTGATGCGGATCCGTTCCCATCGAGCAAATACTCCGACCTGCTCCTGCAACACGGCCTGGATTTGCTCGACCTAAGCATGTAACATAAACAAGGAAACAAGCTACAGCCTTCATCATTGAGCTCCATGTAGGTCGCAAGATGATCAGTGTCAATAATATGGAAATCAGCAACGTGCACGTCAGAGATTATGAGCTGCAACACATATCGTCAAGAGCCAAACCGGATATAGAAGCTTTCACTAGAAGCAAGAGCATTCCGTTATGTATGCGTTGATCCTTACTATCGCTCATGAAAACTGGACGCTTGTGTTTTTTGAAGCTCTTACGTCACAGCATTTGCATGACTATATGTGGGTATGACACATCGGAAGCCTATCGCCCATGCCGGCGCTTCAGGCTTCATGCTCATAACATAAAGCAGCAACCAATGTCGCCAGAATCTTACATTCTGTAGCACCTAGCCCTCGCGATCTTGCCTGGTGCCCAAGTACGGGTGTTGTCTATGTCTCTATTTTCTGCAGGCAAGGTGAGGAAGGCGTGAAGAAGATCCGAAGCTCAGCAGCAACCAACTGACGTTGGGGAGCGGTTGGTTGTTTTGGTATCATACTATGCTGCAGTATACTATGGTGTACTATAGTATACAATGGTATATTATAGTATATTGTATCATATGCTATATATTTTGTATACTTTGGTATATGCTAGTACGTTGGCCCAGGGTTGAGCGTCCTTTAGCCATGAGGCTTATGTGTTATGGCTTTGGGTTTGGGCTTGCTTAGGGCTTTGGGTTTGAGATTTTGGAAGAACCGTCTAGTGCGCCAGGAAGTTGAGCTTCCAATATTCCGGAGTTCGGATGCAGGCCTTCCTGAACATGGCAAAGATACCGACTCCCAAGTGTGATGTTACTAGATAGAAAGTAGGGGTCTGAAATATTGAATAGCAGAAGTCCCTCATAGTGTCTGTACAGCGACAGTATGGTATACCCCACTTCTTGTCATTCAGGCCCCTGTATTTATTCTCCCTTTGGCCGCTTTGGTGTGTTTCTAGCTTCTGGACGTATATACATATATATATATATATATATATATATATCCAGATTTCACCCTTCAACTAGGCCGTCCTAACCCAAAGGACCTACGACCAGCCCGGGAAAGCTGCCCTAAGCCCCAGAGCGTCGACCACTGCACTACGAGAGGCTCCGTAGTGCCCACCACGGGATGGTTGAGCTTTCAAGACCTCAACCCTAAAGCTTAATACAGGGGGCCTTACTAGTTAGAATAGGGTTTCGGGTGTAGGTTCTACTCCAGCTATACTGAGGCACCCCCAAAATGGTATTGGTAATGATTGGGGCATCTGGAGTTTATGCTCTCATGACCGAAAATACTCAACCCAAAGCCATGTTTTGTAGGGTTTGGGGTTGAAGCCTTTAACCTTCAATCCTCGAACAGCAACCAGCACATCTATGAAAATGGCTGCCTAGGTTGTATAACCCAGAAAATCAACAAATCTGAGTTCAGACCTGATCCAACCCTGGGCTTGCCCCGAACTGTACTATAGAAGTTTGAGTAGCTAGTAGCATTATTCCTATTTCTTTTATCATAACTACTATGGGAACCCACGAAACCCTATTTTTCCACTCATGAAGTCCCTATGTTAAGGCTTGACAGCTGTGCCTATAAGCCTACAAGAAGTCTTCCAGGAACCGTTCAGGGAACCCTACCGACTCAGGTAGAATTTGCCTCCTTTGGGAGCAAGTCGGCTGCAGACCCTTTGTGTCAGAGGCTAAAGCTCTGACCTGGCAAGGATAAGTCCCTTGAGTTTGGATCTTAGGGGTTTGGGGGCTTAGGGCTTAGGGGTTTCAAGGATTAGGGTTTTTGGGATGTAGGGTCTAGGACTCAGGGCTGTTGAGGGAGTCGAACTATTGGGGGCTTCGCTGGGAGGCAGAAACGATCTGGCACTCGTCATGACTAAGCCGCCGTTGCTTGCGGTGTCCAGCAGGTGCATGATCTAGCCGAGTGTTGCTGAAGCGGTATAAGAGCTTACAGTTTTCTGTTGCTTACCTTTGGTTAGTAGGGAATGGAAGAATGGTAGTAATAGTAGTTATAACCGTACCCCATTTGACCATTCCCTACGGTAAGGTTGTCTTGCATGGAAGCCCAGGTACTGGAAGCTTTGCATACTTCAAGTCCCCGGGATCGGACGCCGCACCTGCGCCACCCTGATCCTGGATGAGTTCCGGAACCTTAGTGCAAAGATGAAAGACAGTGGGTTCGGGGGCTCACCTACAGTCTCCATTGTAGTTCCTTGTTTTCGTGAACCAAAGCCTCTATTATAGGGTCCTAACCATAAATAAAATGAGTTAACAAAAAAGGAACTACTTACAATGGAGACTGTAGGCCGCAGAGACTAAAAACATCCCGTAGTTCAACCTTCCAGGCCCCTCAACCCGCCCTTGTCGTCGTACAGCTAGGCCCTAAACTCTCACAGAGCCGGTTCAGGAATGCCAAGCGCCTGACGATTCTGCTCCTTCAGGCTTGGCGCAGCACAGAGAGGGATTCAGTTTCTCTTTTTGGAAGGACGTACAGCAAGGTTTAGGTTCAGATACGGCCCGATGATGTAGAACATACAGTAGGGAATGGTGAACCAGCAGCCTCAGTCATGCTACTGCTGGTTTTGCAGGATCAAGAGCACTCTAAGCCTAGACGGTGCACAGCTGTCAGGTGTACATGGTGGATGTCGTTTTCAATACCACCGACCCTGAAGCGGAGGCACTCTCGCCACTTTGGGCCACAGGATGTGAGTCCTTCAGGGACCGCGGGTTTGGGTCGTTGGCTGACGGTTTCGGAAGGCGCGGTTGCAGATTTCGAGTTGAAGCCCTGAACTCTCAATACACGTGCCTTAATTTGAATAGGGTTTGGGTGGTATATTACACTGTATTATACAGTGTAATCATAGTAAGGAACCCCCACAACAGTAGAGGTAAGTATTAAGGCCCCTACGCTTGAAGATGGAATGTCCTTTCTGAGATATGCGGGTTGTGTTGGAGCCCAGCCCGGGCGAAAGCCGTACCGAAAGATTCAGGGCGGGCAGGGCAGGTTGCCCTAAGAATGCGGCACCAATCTGAAACATGAAGTCTACATCCGGGCCAGAACCTGAAAACGTAAACCGGGCCAGCTGCTCGCCCCTCCAAGCTTAGGAGTGGGAAAAGGATTGAGGAGCGGGGCCTGAAGAATTCAGGGTATCATTTTCCCTTTATAGTAGGTTTAGAGTATAACATCTCCCAACGCCCCAATAATATTGGATCCTATATAACTACCAATACTATTTTGGGGGGCTCCCCATTATAATTATAGTCTACGGGGCCCCCAAAACCCTGTTTTAATTATTCAGGCCCCTAGATTAGCCGAACCCAGCAGGCCCCTTGCGGTAGGCCCCAAATCACCGAAGCCAAAGCACGAGCAGGCACAGCTCATTGGCTCCTCCCGACAAGAGTCGGCGATCGTAGTGGGCGTCCTACTCGCCAGGGCCTCGGTACCACGATGTGGGCTGATCAGAGCTCTTGCGGCGTGTTTACGGGCTGGGTTTCAGGATGCACAGTTTTCGGATTCCGGGTGCCGGGTCATGTCTTGCGTCTCGGGCCTCTCGCCCCTGATCTTTCAAGTCTCTGTCATTTTGCAGGATGAGGATTTGGCGGTTTTGGGCGCTCAGGTTGCAATGTGAGAGCCCCAGAGTAATATAGGGGCCTAAATGATTACCTATACTATTTTGGGGGTTCCTTCTTATGATTGTAGTATAAGGGGCCCCAAAACCCTATTCTAATTATTAAGGCGCCCCTGTATTAATGCATGATGGGTTGCAGGCTTCGACTTCGTATTGGAATCTCGACCATGCGAAAGACCTCTTTCTGTGCAGGGCCGGCTCTTCGTGCCATTAATCCCACTAGAAGGCAACCGAAGCCGAGGCTGCACGATCCCTTGCTTAAGGCTCTCTGTTCGATGTCGATCCGGTAAAGGCAAGGAAAAGTCTCCCAGTCGAAACTGCAGGGCCGGGTTTGTGATTCTTGTAGAACCCTTGAGCCGATTGGCACATATGGCTGCTGTGGCACATCGTGACAGCTGTGTTTCCTTGATGTTTTACCCTCCTGCTCCTTGACGAGTTTGGCGTTTGATCAAATTTGATACTGGTAGTGGTCATGGCACACGGACGAGTAATACACCGGGACTGAAGTAACACCAGGCTGCTCCCATGCTGTTAGTGCACATCGCGGCTCTGATCAAGGCACCGGAACAGAGAATCTGGATGTTTTTAGGGTATAGGGTTCTGACGTTCTTCGTCACAGATTTGGGCTGGGTGGGGCTTCCGGCTTCAATTTTAGCAGCAGGTTGCATTGTCCAAGGGCGAAGCTTGTGTTCTTGTCGGCAACACGACTATCTGGTAAGGTCGGCTTGTTTCAGATGCAAGGGGGTGGAGATCCTTAACATCCATGTCCAACCGCCATCTCGAATCGTCCCAAAAATGGCGAGCCGAGTGTGGACCCGAAGCACATGGATCCGTGTTGTAAGGGCCTCTACACAGCTCCCGCTAAGTTTGAGAGCTCCGCTGTTAAGCATGAATGCCAAGCCCCGAGCGGGAGGCCAAGATGGACTTGAAGGGACATCTGCACCTGTTTCTGCAGCGCAGCCTCTTCAGGAAGTACTTGAACTACAGCGCTTTGGCTTCTCTAAGGTCTGGGCCAAACCTAGGCAACCCTAAGCCCTACATCGCATTGAGGGTTCCAGGGCAGCATTAGGACATGGGGTTAAGATTCGAATTCACGAGAGATTGCCAGACCTCGAGCTGGCTGCCCTCTTAGGCCTTAGGGTTTAGGGGTTGAGGGCCCGGTTGAAGGGAAAGTTCAGGCTGGTTTGACCAAGGAGAAAAGAGTTCTGTGTTGAGTTCAGATTTGATTCGGGCGCCTGGATCGGGTGCTTAGAACTTCAACCAGTTTGGCTCTTGAGCCCAAACCTACTTAAAGGTTCATGGGACTTAGTAACTGGGGTTAAAACTAGGGTAACTGTACTTATAAGTACTTATAACCCCAATTAAGATACTCATTATAACCTGACTTACTAAGTCCCATGATCCTCGAAGTACGTCTTCAGAGTGGGTGTTAGTTCGGATTTACCACAGCTTTTGGGGCTTAGGGCCAGGGCCACATCAAAGCAAGGCGAGCTCACTCCTTCAAAACCCTCGTGCAAGCTTCAAGCGGGGCGGGGACAACTATTTCAGTAGGGATTTAGGGGATTTTTAATAGAGAATTTCTTTTAAGGGACTCAGAAGGACCATTTTTCGGTATAATTAGATCATGGGGCCCGAAGGAAATGGAAACTTTCAGGAGAGGCAAGTAATGTCAGAACCACGAAACTCCTCCAAGCACCGGTTTGAAGAGCTCAACACGCGCAAACCTTCTAGGGTTTAGGGGTTTGTCCTTTGAGGGCTTGGGGTTGAGGGGTTTAGGTGTTAGGATTTATGACGCCGCCGCGGCAAACCAGGCGAGGAGTCACGAAGCTCAGTACCTCCAGCACTAATGCAGAGTGCCACCTGTCGCAACAAAGCTCTGGAGGGTTCCGGTACTGGAATCCTGGTGCTTCTATCTTAAGGGCATGAGGGTATACTGAAATGTGACAGCAATTTTGGGATCAAGGTGCTTAATTCGCACTTGAAGGTTTAGGAGGGCTTGGTGATGAGGTTTCTGCAGACTCGTAGGGTTCGGGGCTGTGTCGACCCCATATCAGCGACCCTGGTCCAAATCAGATCGGGCAAAGGCGCTGTTGTTCCAGACTGCTCTAGGGTTGTGGAGGTATATCCAGTAGAAGAAGTTTTCAAATTCACAGACATTGCCGCATGCCCAGTTTGGAACGGGTCTAGTTGCCCGGATCGGAGGACTGTATTGCATACCTAAGCGCCAGAACAACCGCCGGAAAAGGGCCTATAAGCAGCCTGAACAGCAAGCCCTGTAATCCCATGTTGAGGCCATCACGCGAGAATCTGGAACTTTGGCCGCAGCAGATTGGGGACGGGGGTGGGCCGCCTTTCACATTCCGGGACTGTTGTTGCCGCTGTCACCGCCGATGAAGGTTGAGAACAATAATGAAAACAGTAACAATAACAATAATAGCCAGAAGAGTATCAATCACAATGATTGTGAAGATGGTTATAATAATGATAGTGACCAGTAGTAACCGTAATAACAACATGGCAACTTTAACAGTCGTAGTCAAAGAAAGTGGTAAGAAGACTCTAATGCTGATAACAAAGATACCATATAGTAATAGCAGTTCTGGTGATGATAATTAATGTTGGTGATATTGCCGACGACTCTGCTTGTTCTCACGGGTACTACTACAATACGGTACATTCGAAGTCGAGCTTTGAATATCAAGCTCTAATCTCAACTGCAAGAGCCTGAGCACCGGAGCCGGTATGAAACGCGATCACAAGGCGCCCCGGATCCAACCTTGTGCACCAACAATGGCGGCAAATTTCTAGGTTCCCCCCGTAGCACCGGCTTACCCTCTTTCTATTTTGTGGTTTCCCCTTGCGAAAACTGAATAATGCGGATAAGGGAACCCTTACGATTCACGATTAAAGGGATGCTCCGGGGAGCCCGGCTTCTACAGTTGGCAAGAAGCCTCAAGGAAGCCATACCTGGCGACTTCCAATCACTCGTTTCTTGTTTTGACAAGCTTGAACATCTGAGAAGAAATGTGCTTCTCTGAAGCTTTAGAAGTTTGGAAGGAATCCTAGTCCTATTCCTAACTCAACCCAACCCAGACTGCCGGAGAAGCCTCAAAAGCCAAGCGCATCTGCCAGAAGAAGCCGCCACATCCTTCGGCAAAGTTCTGGACCTCGTTGCGATTTTATGTCAGCTCCCCTGGCACGAAATTACTCAGTATGTTGATGTGAGAACCCATGATAGTAGCAATCATGTCGGTAAGAAAACCATAGCTGACGGGCAAGAGAGGAGCAGATACATTTAGCGTCAGGAGGTTGAGGATTCTTGGCAGGTTTCGGGCTCAGTCGATCTTGTGGATGCCTTCAGGCGACCCACAGGGCCTCCGATTAGGAGGGAGCGTTTCAAAGTGGGGTCTCCTGCTAGATATCCAGTTGAAGGGGAACAACCCAAACGCATACTTCAAGCAGGAATCTCAGACTTTTTCGCTCGCCTAGGGTTTCGATTCCAACGAGTTTCTGCAGGAAGCCACGGACGGTCCGAAGCACCTAAGGCTCGTGATCTTCGCGTACTTTACCATCATGGAGAACCCTACGGCAATGATCTTCATCTTGGCGATGCCATGTAGCATGCTGCTCTATTTCACCTTGGTCAGCTTGACACGCGACTGCAGGAAAGTTTGGGGTCGATTCGGCTGCGCTCTACGATTGTCCCAAACAAGTGGAACCTACTTTCTTGTAGTGATAATACCTGTACAAGTGCATGTAGGTGCGTTGCTGGACTCCCATATGATTTAGACACTCGACCCGTTGCTTTCCAAAGCACTTGATGCACTAGCCGCTAGCCTTGACTTGAGCCGTTTTTCGGCCTGCCTCCCTCCCTACCCGTCCCCCTGCTTCTACCTAAGCCCTAAACATCAGCCTTGCAACCTGTTGGGAGGGTTTGAGGCTTGAGGGTTTGGACGTTTGAGGCTGGGTAGTCATGTTCGAGGATTTTGGGGAGACTGCCTTCGGAGATTTGAAACGCAAAGCCTCAGGATTCGTGTCGTTATGGTCTATGTCGCTGTCACAGTGGCAAGGATGGCCATGGTAGCACGCGTGGTGACGCTGATTAGCGACTGCTACTAGTTGTGCGGGTTCAAATGTATGTATTACTATCGGTACAACGACGATCGACTTTCTTGAACTCAGTTACACAGAACATACCACGGAAACACCCAGAATCTCAAGCCCTTGCACTCTCTCCCGCCTGCACTGCTTTTGTCTGAGGTGCCGCGGAGAGCGTGATCAGTGGAAGGACAGGCTTCAGTAAGGGTGAGATTATACTTTCTTTACTCGAACAGATTATCATACCAAGCTAGGCACGATCGAATAAACTAGATCTATACGACGTTGCAACTACTTGCAACATCCTGTGTGCCGAAACTTCGGAGGCTCGTTGTGGCGATCCTGTGGGTTCATATTTCCGGCAAGCCTAGGAGGTGGGAAAGGCAGCATGTTGAGGCATGAAGGGGACTGGACCTGGATTTCATGACCCCGCCCCCACGCGTCAGTGAACGGATGGTCACGAAGCCCCTGTGTACCCTCTCTCAGATCGAGGCTTCCAGAGAGCTTTGCCACGGATACTCCTACTCCTACGATCCCATGCAGTCCGAATTCGATCCCAGGGGCCAGGGAATATACCTTATCCTGCTACTTTCGGTTGGGGGGGGCTGCTGTTGCTTCTTAAGCCGTGACAGGAGATCGAAGACCAGATGTTGTTTTTGGTGGACGAGGCCTGGGCCTCGAGTTCCAGACGCATGTATTCCAAGAGTTCTACACACTCAGTTACATGTCTGTACATACATGTATATACACTATGCGTATACACATTGACATACATTACATATGTACGATATATACTTGCTATGATATTTGGATACATATCACAGATATACATGTAAATATGCTTATACAGTTATGTATTTAGTTAGCTGTTTAAGTACAATCTACCGGTAGATACATACATACATACATACATACATACATCTATATATATATATATATATATATACACGTTTGTGTGTGTGTGTTTACTTAGACATTGAAGCTTCAAGATAACTAACAAGGGTAAGCCGATAGCTTACGTAGGTAGGTGGATAGGTAGGTAAACAAGCAGATGTGCGATAGACAGGCAAGTAGGTACGCAGGTAGGCAGGAGTGGCTGGCAAGCAAGCAGGCGGGTTGATTGGTTGGGGGTTCCAGCGGATATTGTTTCGTTCTACATGGGAATGGAATGTTAAGTAGCACACCGCATGTACGTGCGTAAATATACAAGCACGCATGCATGCAAGAATGCAAGCATGCAAAGCAATCGTCATAACGTTCTTGCCGACGAACTGCGTTCGTGTGTGCATAGTGTTGCTCATAGTTCTTGTTTAGCACGATGGGCCACGATGGGTAATATGGATGTTGTCATGTAAGCTCTGGTGCTGTGAAAGCCCTGAGGCAGGATACCGTGCCGTCGAGAAGCCAGTCCTCATAGAAGCCTTCTCATCACCCTTGAAGAGACCCTTTATAGCAAGCCTTACAGATCCCTTTCGCTTGGGCTTCGGAGGAGATGCTCCAAACCCTGTCAGGAACGATCACGAGAGGCGTTTTCGTGGTATGTTTAGGATATAGGGGTTCTGGTTGGAGGTTTAGGGTTTGGACCCCAACCCTAAGCGTTACACCAAGCTCTAAACCCTGAAACCCTGCCCCCGACGGATGACGAGAGGTATGCCACCGATACCGGCTGGTGGCAGATTATTTTCAGAGGCCCGGTCGCTCTCTCACGTGGTCGACGAATGCTTAAATGAAGGCATGCATGCAGAAATATAGTTTGTACACTTATGCATGCAGACATATAGACAGACATAGACAGAGACAGAGCTGGAGATAAGGACTGACATATGCAAGTAGGTAGTACAAGTGGGTGTACGTATATGTATATACACACACACACACACATCGTAGCCTCCCTGCTCCTCCTCCCCCTGCTTTCCGCTTGAAAAGCAGGACATTTCATGATTTGAACGTTCCTGTATCCTTTGTCGTCTTAGACAGCCAGGTCATCTTTCTGCCTACGACCCAAATGACTGAGAGTGGAATTCTGATTGAAACTCAAGCAAAGTTTCAATGATATACTCCTTGTTCTGGAAGGGAGCATAGTATGCTCGCATTTCATATTGTCGAGCCAGCCCTCTTCCGCAGGCCTCAGATGAACGAGGAGTTCCAGATGCTTGACTGACGGTGGTATATGAAGTCCATGCAGACGTTTATGGGTTTAGGGGTTCAGAGGTTTGGGAATTTGCGCTGGCTGATTTTAGATGATCCCTTACCAGGCATCAGAAGAAGGATTCACTTCAGGGTTGTGAGGCAGGATCCGCCCTGCGTACCTCCGGCTGGTGAAGCTCCAAGCACCGGCACTATTCCGTTTACCTGCTCATTGTTACTACATGGTCGCACAGCTGCGGCCTCCACCAGAAACCCAAAACCCCAGGCCGCTACAGTCCATACCCTCTATAAGTCTTATTAGCAGCACGATGAAGTGGATCTGGCTAGAACCGGACTCTGCGGCCCAACATCCCAAAGATGCAAGTAGACAACCCGAACCCGGAACCCTAAGCCCCAAAAGTTTCTGGAAGCCCTCGCCCGTCAGACGCCCCCAGGAAGACCAGTGGCGACCTTAGGCGCGAGATGGTTCCGGACCGACTGTTCTGATGGATGCTGTCTGGGGGTGGGTTTCTTCACGGAGAACATTTTAGTCGGATTCTATCTTACGCAATATGACGAAACCGAACATCAACCAATCATGTGCGGGAAAATCCTTTCAAGGACGGGTGTCCAGGAAGAGCAGTAAGCATGTGTTTTCACATCGCGGCTTGGGAGAGTCAGGAAGACCCAACACTGGGAACCGAACATAAGATGTATTGAAAGGGTTGCTATGAGGTTGCTACAAGGTTAGTAGAGGGGTCACTCTAAGGTTACTCGAAGGGACCTTGATTTTACGAATCCCCAATATCACAGTCAGTTAAGAGGATTTTTGAGAGCCCTCTCCATGGCAGGACCACCTCAGAGATGCCAACGACAACATGTTCCCAAAGTGGTGGCTTGGATTGTTTCGAATTCAGGGGGTGAAGGGCTGAAGTGTAGGTTTGGCGCTTCGGGAAATTCGGGATTAGAGGTCCGAGTTCGGGATTGTTGCAATCTGTACCGAGTTGAGCTGTGCAAGAGTGCATCGGGGAACAAACCGCATGCTCAACGAAGCTTCGTATAGTATCGAAACACTGAAGAGGTCTGCAGTAGTGTTGTAAGTGCTCCTTGAACCTGGCAGAGGGCCCCAGGTTCAAGGCTCAAGATGCAACACTTGTGGACCTTATAAACTGTCATAACCTCAGAGCAACCTTCGTTTAGTAGTCACCTTAGAATCGCAACCTCATAGTCACGCCTACAGTGCCAATCATAGGCAGTTGTTGAGTAGAGCCTATCAGCCTATCTCTTCGTTCTCTCTCTCTCTCTCTCTCTCTCTCTCTCTCTCTCTCAAGCTCTTTGTGAATTACGAAGAATGAACCGCTTCTAAATTGCCTATGATGTCGGCGGCTGACTGCTGTACTGAGGCTTGGCCCCTTTTTCATGGGCCTCTACGTGTCGATCGAGGCATGCGCTATACTCGGGGAATGCTTCGAGACTTGACCTCGGCGCATGGCGAGGGTTTTCGGCCACATTAACTGAGACCTCAGGTTTAGGGGTCCGGGGGTGGGGGTTTCGGGGTTTCGGGCGTTGAAGATTGTTAGGATTAGGTGGTAATATCCGGGGTTTGGGTTCGCGAGGCTAGGGGGTTCAGGTTTGGGAGTTTAGTGGCGCATGTCGTGCGGTGAATATACGGGCCCTGAAGAATTATGCAAATCTCCTAAGGAGCCGAATCTACCCTGTAATTGGGGAGTAGATCTTCACTTGTTTGGGAGCTGCTGATGTAATATCATGATTGAAGCCGTAAGGCATGTTCATCAATTCAAGGCTATTGGGATTTCTTTGAGCCATGAGAGCCAATGACAAGTCCGTCTTTAAACGAAATCTCGAACCCATCATCTGAGCTCTCCACCTCAAACCCTGAAACCGTGGTCTAAGCCCGTTAAGCCTATTATTCCGTGGCTCTTTGCAGGCCGGCAGAGTACTGGATGGCTCCTTAAGCTTGGGCACCTTCCTTGCCACTGTGGGCATCATGACCCTTGGACGGGCCAGGTTGAGCGACTAGGGGTACCTTATTTTGGAGTCTTTCTAATGAGGATCCTACTATTTAGTGTACTATATTGGGGTCGCTTATTTTCGGAAAACTCCCATAAAGGACTTGTTAGCTAGCTTCTAGCTAGTTAGCGAATAAGTTGGTTAGTTGCCGACTTGGTCAGTCAGTCAGTCAGTCAGTCAGTCAGTCAGTCAGTCAGTCAGTCAGTCAGTCAGTCAGTCAGTTCGTTGTTAAAGTTTTTGCTAGCTCGCCGGCAAGCTAGCCAGTTGTACATACTTACATACGTGCATGTATTTTTAGGTACATAACCACGCAGAGATACATGGACGCACAGACACATAGACATACACGCTTCGTTAATTCAGTCTTTCATCCGTCATTCATTAATTCATTCAGTCAGTCAGTCAGTCAGTCAGTCAGTCAGTCACCCACTCACTCACTGACTAATTCATTCATTCGTTCATCCGTTTCTTCACCCGTTCATTCATACCTATTCGTATGAACAGAAAGGCAAACAGCAGTAGAAAGAGGAGGACCATCCTTTTTGCAAATGGTCTGGTAAGGAGACCCTTCACCGAGAGAGAGTTGATTGAGAGTCGAGAGACTCAGGTTTGCTTCAACCCTGAGCTCTAGTAGCCTTGGAGCCTAATATCACAGGGTATGGAGTGGATAATTTCATTAATGATCCACACCATACCGAGTGAGATCCTAATTCAGGATTCTCCGATTCAGAGGTTTCGGTTCTCGATCGGCTTCCGTAGGGTCGACGTGCCGAGGGTTAGAAGGTTGAGAGCCGGTGGGTGTGCAGGCGCGTTTGGGGATTAATTGGGTTTTCAGGTGCCTCAACCCTACGCCGGTTGATTTGGGCTTACATCCCAACCTTGACATTGGGGAGTGCTTTCCTGGCCTCGAGGCCAAGATCGGCAACAGAGCAGCACCATAGCGGTTTAGGGTTCGGGCTTTTGGTAGTAATCAGCAAAGGATCGTCACCATCATCACAGTCGCATCGCAAGCCACACCAGCAGCAACAGCAATAGCGAACCTTGTCCCTGAACCCGGAACCCCAAAGTCCAAAAGCCCTAACCCTGACCGCAAATCCCTGACCCCAGAAGATGAGGAAAGCTGTTTTCGACCACAGCTATCTGAGCAATCCTGGGCAGGTCGCTGGGATACGTTTATCGTTGCCCCCTATTAGGTGCAAGAAGATCGCAATCTGCGACTCTTTTGTTAGAGGGCTCCTGGGAACAACCCTGAAGCTTCGAAAGCCCCCTAAAACCTCCGTGCGAAGAGCAGCCCTCGTGCGAGGAAAGACATCAGCGAAGAGTTCGAAGAGGCCTCTTGGGACTTGCTATTCAAAGGGGAAAAGGAGGGACCCTTAATGGGGGACCCCTGCCCTATAATGGGCTATATAATGGGTATATGATAGCTTTATTAAGGGTATATGCCTAGGGGTCCTTATTAAGGGTCCCTCCTTTTACCCTTGGAGCTATGGGATTTGCAGTGCCTTTTCTCAAGGGCTTTATCGGGTTTCGGAGCCAGGTTCGGGGCTCATGGACGACATTCCCCAGTGCATTGGCCGTGGTCAGCTTATGGTTTGGGGTTTAGGGTTTAGGGTTCAGGGTTTGGGGTTCAGGGTTTAGGGTTTTCGGGATGTTTATGACCTTCGATTGGCCATTTGAGCAACTTTTCTATCAGCGTCGTTTGGCTATGGCTTGTGTCGTTGCGACTTCCAACGAGTAGCATGGAAGCCCGACTGAATCTATTCCCAGGGATTTCTTATGATAACTATATTATAGTCACTATCAAATCCGAAGCGTAACGCCCTGTCACGCTCAGGGGAAGGGTTTCGGGTTCCGGTGCAGCGAGTCGTGCTTCGAGCTCATTGTATGGATCTTCGTTTGTTGCGGCTCAGTGAAGCCCCCTGGTCATTCGTTGGCTGGTGGTGCCCGAAATCTAAGATAGCCGTCGGTCGTCTAAATCTTTTTTCTGTACCCTAGACAGAATAACCTAAGCCTCGACTCGTGGATCCCGCCGTGAATCCGGGATGGTGTTGGACCCTGTTAGGGTTATGCCATCATCTTGGAGCTCACACAATTCTACTACTCTGTGGTGGACTTGACCGCCGCTTGGGCACGAAAGTCTCGGTTTTTGGAGTTTGGAGCGCGAGCAACATGGTTGGGTGCCGCAGTCCATGAGTCCAGCAGCCGTTTGGGGACATCTAGGCTCCTTCGTGAAGTTGGCATTCCCGAAAGCCTTAAACCCTTGCTCCCTTTACGTGTCTTCTTCTCAACCCCAGCAGTGCTGGGCTCAGGAGCAGGTTTGACACCACTGTTTTAATCGATATCTGCAGGCGAAGCAGGGTCCAGAATTCCTACGTGCTGGTGCTAGTTCTGGGCGTACTACTGCGGCTGTTGCGGCTACTATCTCTACTTCTCTTGCTTCTTCTACTCCCACGCCTACCGCTACTGCTACGTCTACTTCTATTGATAAAGCAACAAGAACAGCACAACTGAAGAAAGTGGTTGGTTCCGCGGCATCGAAACCATAGTGACTGCCCCCGATCGGTTTTGATCCCACACAAGCTTGACCCAGAGAGCCCAAAACCCCTCGATTTAGGAATATGGCTTCATATTATGATTTTTGCTAAATTCCTTAATTAAGGGGTATTGGGCTCTCTGGGGAGTGCCCGAAATCAGGTCTTCTTCAACAAGCCAACGGATCTCCGGACATGGAAGGCAGTGAATCGACAGCGGCGGGACGAGTCGCCACTCTCCTGCGCTTTTGGGCGCACTCAGGCCTAGGCCCACAGACTTTGGATACTGTATACTAAGATTGTAGTGAACTTTGATATACTATGACTTCGTACTGTTATCTTCCACTAAGTACTGTTACTATTATATACATGTCAAAGTAATACTATGAAGAATCATTTGGAGGTGTGATTGGTGTTCTGGCCCGCTGTAAACTTCTACGGGTGACCAGGTCGGAGCCGCTTTCAGGATCCCCCGACGGAGTACATGATTCTCATAGGTAGTCCTGGAACGGAAACTAGTTTAGAGAACACCTACTATTACTATGCTTAAAGGAAAAGGGGCTCGTTCGGCTCTGATCACTGTAGGCATCAACGCTCCCTCTGACTCTTCTTGAACAGGTTTCGGGGTTTCAGGGTTTCAGAGTTTCGGAATGGGTGCAGACTTCACGCACGGCACGCCCTTTCAACTCGACACGAATTCGTTGTTTCCGGAGAGATCACGCTGCTCGAAATGTGTGCAGTTCGGTTCTGAGTAGGTCCGTCGGCGAGCTATAGCGAATCCCAGAAAGTTGGAACATGGGTTTAGGAGGATTTGTGCGGATCCCTGATACTTTACCTTGAGGGCATGAGGATACTATTGTTCCAACTTTCTGGCTTCTACGATAGTTATTCAGCAAGTATGTGTGTCAGTAGGTATTTTATTCAGCGCGGACGGGCGGACATTGGTTGGCAAGCAGCCAGTCAGCAGACGGAGTTCGCTCAATCACATCCTCGACACTTAATGATGTACAGAGTTGATGGCAGTTTTACCTCGGACAGAGTTTTCGCGACTTGAGTCCTATACATCATACTATCATACACGTCACCATAAACCAATAAAGATCCACAAAAATCCTCCAAAGCCACTCAAAGACTCCGTTTAAACCCTTGATACGTTCGCCCGGCCCAGCGTTTCGAGCGAAGTCACATCAAGGAAGCGGGTCCGGGACGCTTTCTATGCCAAGCCTCCCATCGACGAGCCCATGCCTGGTGAGCTGAAAGAGACCGAGGCGCATGGGGAAAGATGTCGGATTTTCAGGGCCAGGTGCTGAATTGATTGTATCGTTGTTTCACATTCTTCCGCGCTTCACAGGTTGTGTGAGTCATTGCCCAGGCAGGATTCAACGAGTTTAGGCTTCAAGTCTGCATGGTTTGGGGTTCGGAAGTGTGGGTTTGCTTCGCACAGTTGAGTGGCTTCTGGGCTTCAGGAGGTTCTGTTGTCCGAATCGGGCACCCCCTCGGCTTTGGCAGACATCATCATCTATCTCAATCTCTCTCTCTCTCTCTCTCTCTCTCTCTGTCTTTGCTCACTGCAGCTCAACTACCCTTCTGCGCATGATCATCACCATGATCATCACAATTCTGAACTGGCATCAACAGTGCATGATCATCATCCCACCACCACACCACCACCACCAGCATCACCCTCATCATGATCTTCACCGTCATCGTCATCATCGTGACCGTCATCCTTCTGCTCAGCATTCGTATCTGGCAGCCTCAGCGGTTTCAGCACCCCTCATCATCGCCCTAATCGTCAGCACGTCATGCAGCATTCTCACAATTAGCAGCTTACAATGTTTGATCACCTCTGTTTAGCGTCATTTTAACCGTCAGTTCCCATCGCAGAAGTGGCAGGAGAATCTCAGTCTCACAGCACTAGGCACAACGTCAGAGCATACATGAGCAGCCTCACATTGCTGAATCAACCGTTAGATTTTGAGAGTGGCAACGGCACACAATAATGAACGTGAATGGAAAACGACTGGCCCGGATCACTACAGCAGCAAGTGACACTTCGCAGCCTAATGCTAAGCCTGATCATCATGCTAGAGTTAGACGCTAAACCCTAAACCCTAGAGGGTACGAAGATTGGCAACCTGCACTTTCAAAACGATCTCCTGACAGACGTCTAGTCTGTCATTAAGTCCGCACCATCGAGAGCTGCTCGCCGGAAATCCACGTGGACTGCGTGTTGAGTATTCCTATTGCTATTGCTTCTACTGTTACTATTATTATTGCTCAGTTGCTACTACTACTACTACTACTACTACTACTACTACTACTACTACTACTACGACTACTGCTACTACTGCTACTACTACTACTACTACTACTACTACTGCTACGACGACGACTACTACTATTACTGTTACTATGACTATTACTATGACGGTAGCCATTACTATTACTATTACTATTGTTCAGTTATGATTATCACTATTACCGTTATTATTGTTGTAGGTCGAGACAGAGGCGGAGCCCCCCGCAGAGGAGGCGCAGGGCAGAGTTTTATGTCTCAGCGTCAAGGGCTTAGGGCTTAGGGTTTAGGGCTTAGGGTCTAGGGTTTAGGGCTTAGGGTTTAGGGTTTAGGGTCACTTTCGACCAGTGACGGGCAGACTCTATTCATCCGGGAGTTTCCGAAGATTAGGGGTACCTTGAAAGGGATCCTGTAAGGGTTCCTCAAAGGGATCTATAAGGGTTCTATAAAGGGTTTAGGGTTTAGAGTTTCCGAAACTTAGGGGTACCTTATTTGGGGATCCTTACAATAAGGATCCTACTAATTATTTGGGATACTATATTAGGGTCTCCTATTTTCGAAAACTCCCATACAGCGAAGGCATCATCACTCAGTCTCTTCGCCATCGTCATCATCCTAATCTTCATGGCCATCACCACCGTCACTTGAGTCACTTATACCAGAACAATCATCAACAGCAAAAGGCAGCAGCAACGACAGCCGATATCATTAAAGTTGACAGCAATCAAGCAAAAACTCCGATGCCAACAACCGGAGCAGCAACAGTAGCCACAGCAATGCTCACCCCAAAGGGGCAGCCGTAGTTCGTTGGTCTTGTTATCACTGGTGCTGCTCCACCAATCTGTTGCTGGACCCTTGCTGATGCAGCAGCCACAGCCAGAACAACAACAACAACAACAACAACAACAACTACTACTACTACTACTACTACTACTACTACTACTACTACTACTACTACTACTCCTGCTACTACGGGTACGACGAAGACTACTGCTACTGCAGCTGCTACTGCTACAGTTCTGCCACTGCTACTGCTCCTGCTCCTACTCCTGCTGCTGCTACTGCGACTGGTACTGCCACTGCCACTGCGACAGCCAAGGCCACTGCTACTGCTAGTGCTACTACTTCTGCTACTACCACAATACTGCTACGGTTTTGATAGCCACCAGTCGCCAGCAGAGCAATAGCAGTAAGACTAGCAGTTGCGAGTTTGCAGTGCTACAGTGGTCGCATTCGCGGATTGTTACGAGTTCGGGTTCTGCAGTAGCCTAGCATGTCGCATGCAGCACATAGAACACACTTTTGGGGCTCTTGTTCTCGCCGGTTATCCTTGAACCGAGCCTGAACCTGAAAGCCCTCAACTGGCCCTGAACCCGAAACTCCCCCAGTCCCAAGCCGAATGCTTGAAGTTGAGCGAGTTTTGGCACCATGCCCTAAGGTTTTTGTTCGAGTTGGGGCTGTGAGGCTGCCGGAGCCCATGGAGATTTTGGGAGAAGAGCCAAGTTTCTGCTGCGGGCTCATACAAGAGATGACAGTTTAGGGTGCAGGGTGTGTGGCTCGGGCAAACAGAGACAGCTTCAACGGAAGCTGGTGCAAGTGCAAGTCCAGGAACACCCATACTCAAAAGACGAAGCCCAAGCGCCAATCCTACACCCTGAGATATTCGCAAAGCTTCTCGACATCAAAGCGTCTGGCAGCAGGCCATGTACAAGACGGATCTGATTCCGATCAGGAGCCCTGTGCAATCCCAACCTTAAACCCTGGTGCCAGCCGAGGGTCCTTTGGGCGTGGTTACAACATCAAGACCAGTCCAGGGCAAATTTTGCTCGAGAGGCTAGTAGACGAGGAACGGTGGTGGATGATGGTTTGACATGCTGATTTCTTGAGCCTCATTCATAGGTTGTTGATAAAGCTGTAGCGCGGTGCCAGATCTTCTCAAGAGCTTCTTGCAATTTGAAGCAGGGCCGGCCCAAGATCTGCAGCCCTACATAAAAGGCCGGACAAGCCCTGTTCTGTTGAGATTGCTTCAGGCCCCGATTTTCGACACACCACAAACTCCCGGCGAGGATCGAAGGCATGAGCTATGATCCCATCTTCAAAAATGTCAATGCAGCTCCTCTTGATTTCAGTTCTCGAGCATTTGCGCTGAAGGGTTTAGGATTTATGAACCGTAAGCTTAAAGCCGTGACCTAAAGCCTTACGTAACTCTGTATGGCACAGGCATGTGGAATTTGGGAGTTGTTTCCATGCAAAAGACCCGCATGCTCACAGATACTCACTGATGGTTTAGCAAAACACATCGCACCTGACTTCTCGTACCTAAAGCCCGAACCTGTATGATTGAGAATTGAGGCTGCAGCACTCAGGCTTCCGAGTGTGAGGCTGTGGTTCGACGTTCATCAATTTGTTTCGGTATATCTTTTCTGCTGTCAGGCAGAATTTCGTGTTCTATGCAGTCCCATCGCTGTGGTTTTACGTTTGGTTGTCTTTACCCTGCTCCACTGTGGCTGCTACACTGTCAAGACGTACTCTCACGACCGTGCTTCTTGTGGTGAGGCTCTGGCCGAAGGTACTTGCGGCATTACAGTCCCCAAACCCAACCCCATTTCAGAACCCTTAACGCAACCGTCATACAACTGCCATAGGCCCTCATACCGTTTATAAACCCCACATTAAACCCATAACTATGCAACCTTAAACATACACATATACATGTACATCAGCAAAAGAAGAACCCTGTTCCAATTATTATCCTTCTTCTTAGTCTTATTCTTCTTATTGTGATAGATTTACTAACGGTTGATGATATAAATCCTGCATTACCTTAATGACCCGACAATGGGAATTATGGTTTATTCCTTATTAGGGCTAATGCACGATTTATATCATCAACCGTAATTAAGGCCCCTATATCATAGAGCCCTTATATAGTATCCCTTACAGCAACCCTTATATAGAGCCCTTTAACC